TAGCGTGTCCAACGCCCCTGTAAATGCATGTGAGTACAACTGTTGCAAAAGCGCAGAAGCGTGTACCACGGTTCAGCAGTATGTGCAGCACTACCCCCCACCTAAAAAAGACCTCTCCTGAGGATGGAAGCAAAAATGTACAAAACGGGTGACTAAAATGAATGTGATTACGTACAACTGTTGCAAACCGCAGCACAGCAGTCTCGTCAGCAAACTCGACTTCAACACTACTCCCAATGCTGCAGAACAAAGTGTATTGTTGACTCTGACAAGGAAAAGCAGTAGTGATCGCTTGAACTGCTTTTTTCATCCCCTCATGTCACCTACCAGAAGTAGTCACTGATGAATTCTGGAGAAAAAGCGTTTCTGTCGTAACGAATCTGTGTCCGTTGGTTGTGGGTTGGTTGTGTTTCTATCAATGATTGCCATTTTCTCTCCGACTAGAATATCACATTCCGATTACATTGTTCATGTAACAAATTTTAAATCAGCGCAATGAGCAGAGTGAAAAGCAACTGAATGTAACAGAATCACAGCCATTCTGTTCCCAGGACGCAGGACACAAAGGACAAGACTTGTTTGTTACATTATTATTATTGACATGACGGAAAAGAAGACTACACTCAAAAAGATGAACAAGGAGACTGACAAAAGGCCCGTCGACATCACAATCGCGCATGCTCGTATCACACATGCACGCGACTAGACAAGACAGTTTGGGGAATGTCATCACACAGGAAAACAACACATCATTATACAGCATGAATAGAGCGCTGTGCGAGATTTACGAGTGTGATTTTGAGTGTGATTGGACAGGACACTGCGCTGAAATAGAATGAGTGTTGTTGTGATAACATCATGTACGAGTGTGTTGTTACGATACAGTGTTTGTTGTGCGTGTTTGTCGGATACGCCGATATAATCAGTTGCATAGATAATACTTACGTTGTTGCTTGCATTCTCGCTCTCCACAGCAACTCCACTGCGTGCTGCGTTCTATGTATTCCTATTCTGTACACTGACTCTCTCTGACAGGGTTTGCTGTCACCCTGTCTCTGGGCGCAAGCACCCTCTGACAGACCAAACTGATTTGCTTCATCTCCACAATAGTTATCTCCTTTCGATTTGAATTTCTGTTTGTTCTGCACTCTGATTTTTCCTTGTTGCACCTGCGCTTTTGTACGCGGAACTTTGCTGTCGCCATCGCGTCGCCATTATTTATATCCATGGTTACGTGGTGGTATGACTCATCGATGCATCATGCATGATCATTCTTCTTTTCTACTCGTACTCTTCGATAGGCATGCACGCACACTGATGTACACGTAAGCCAATGCACGCACGCGGGCACGTTTTGCTGATGACAGCGATTTGGCGATCGTTGTTGTTGTTGTTTTCTGGTTGATTTGAGAGTATGGTTGAAACCAATAAGTAAATACAGTCTTCTAGTTGTCTCCACGAAAAGGCCAGGAAATCGCGCTACAACAGGGGTCTGAAGACCGTGTAGTTTTTAGTTGTGGTCGATAATTTCACATTTGTGGTCGATAATTTCACAAGCTCTTATCGGTTGAGAAACCCCTTTTCTTTGATAGTATTTGGACTAGAAAATGTTCGAAATGTGTTTCTTATCCTGTTTCAGCAATGCCTGGCACCTGCTCCAGGAGAGGTCCTGTTCCCAGGTGAGAGGGGGGAGTCCGATGCATTGAAATCCACCCATGTAATATTCTTACTTTACCACAGCCCATATCGCAAGCCGTGCTGCAACTTTTTGCACAACGCCTTCAGACTGCCCCCCACGTGCATATTAGTACACACACATACATACACCGCAGACCAGACCTCCCCATCGCGGAAGCAATGATAGCGAACAGCTATGTTCGACATAGCAACTTGTGCAACTTGTGCTGGGATTACACCATTCAACAACTACATACACATACATACATACATACATACATACATACACTCTGGCAAGGTACGTTCGGGCCTGATTGGAAATTTTTATTTCCATTGCTATCAGGTTCGGCCTCATTTCCTCTGTGCTGCGCTGACGAGTCCACAAAGGACGAAACAGTTCTGTCCGCAGATTGAGTATTTCGCTCCTGCTTTTGTAGCAGTTGAGCACTCTTGCGTGGGGTAGTGCCTTTTCTGTTTGCGTTATGCAGAGCTCACTGACTTGTCAGTTTGAGCACTCTGGCAAGGTACGTTCGGGCCTGATTGGAAATTTTTATTTCCATTGCTATCAGGTTGCCTAGAATTTCCATTGCTATCAGGTTCGGCCTCATTTCCTCTGTGCTGCACTGACGAGTCCACAAAGGACGAAACAGTTCTGTCCGCAGATTGAGTATGTACATACATACATACATACATACACATACATACACACGTGCGTGCGCACACACACACACACACATACACACACACATTAACTACAACACACAGCAACTTGCGGTACGGGGAGTGCCGGCCAGTGGAGTAATAGGCTACGGAGACACACACACACACACACACACACACACACACATATATACACACACGCCATGTACACACACACACACACACACACACACACCATGTACCATGTACCATGTATACGCCTGTCGCAAGAGAAGCACGCAAATCTGCAAATGCACTGGATGTGCACCCACAGATTTTCTCTTAGAGGAACGATAGCGTATCTGATTCTGAATGAAACACACACACTAACCCACACACACACACACACACACACACACACACACACACACACACACACACACACACACACACACACACACACACACACACACACACACACACACACACACACACACACACACACACACACACACACACACACACACACACACACACACACACACACACACACACACACACACACACACACACACACACACACACACTACTACTACTACTACTACTACTACTACTACTACTACTACTACTACTACTACTACTACTACTACTACTACTACTACTACTACTACTACTACTACTACTACTACTACTACTACTACTACTACTACTACTACTATGTACAACTGCCACAAAATGGCCACGTCGCTCCCAGAAGCGGGAGACAACAGCGAGAAAGGAAAAAGGAACAAGGAGAGTAATTGAGGTGAGAGGGGACCATTCTACACATAGCTAGTGTTTCTGTTCGTCGGTGGCGGGTGAGGTCCTGCGGGCGAGAATCGTTCGTTACATAGGCTGCATTGAATGGGCAGATTAGTCCTCTGGTCCTTTCGCAGTCGTTTGCCTCGAGTACAATTATGGCGGTTAAAACCAGCCTGACTCTTCATGCAGCGATCACAGGTCGAGCAATGGTGCTGGCAGCAGTCCAAATTCAGGCTGCATCTCGTTGAAACAGCTGGTATTTCGTCCGATGTCTGACGCTCCACACAACGATGAACTGCAAAACCGCCAGCGCTTTGAAACCAGCAGTCACAAACTCCACAGTGACGGGCCCCAGGCTGCTGGGCAACAGGTAAGGACCGTACAGCTGAGCACTTGTGACGGTGAATCCCACGAGCAGTGAATGATCGGTTGCAAACCTTGCAGGTGACTTTGTTGTTGTTGCACTCCACGAGATCATCCGGAGTCTTTGCAATTGCCTCGCGCCATGCTGGGCGATCCTGAGCCAAAGTGAGCCAATTCACTATGCCACCGCAACGAAGATCACGTGCGACGAGGTCTTTCCATCGCAGTCGTGGCCCACAGGCTGGGGCGTGGATCTGAGAAGAAGCTAAACAGTATCAGCTTCGGAAGCCGGTTATCTGGCATTCTGGCGACATGCCCAAGCCACTGCAGATGGCGGTGTCTGACGGCATCAGATGGCAGTGCCATATCACCCCAACGTCTTCGCAGCTCCTGGTTGTTGACATGCTGCAGCTGTTGATCGAGCCGGGATACACCCAGAATGAACCTGAGGGAGCGGTGGTGGAAGTTGTTGATGGCAACCATGTCTCTCTTCAGCGGAGTCCAGCACTCACAGGCATCTCACACACACACACACACACACACACACACACACACACACACACACACACACACACACACACACACACACACACACACACACACACACACACACACACACACACACACACACACACACACACACACACACACACACACACACACACACACACACACACACACACACACACACATACACACACGGACACACGCACACACGCGCGCACACACACACACACACACACACGCACACACACACACACGCGCGCGCGTGCACACACATACACACACATACACACACACACACACACACACACATACACACATACACACACACACTCACACACACGCAACATCTTTGACATGATGGTAGCTCTCAGCATGTTTTGACTGAAAGCAACACACCGCTATCAGTAGGGTGGTATAGTTCTGTGACATACATCAGCTTCAATGTGGCACCCCACCCTTTCATGGTAGTAATGGAGTGGACCATTGGACTGTGCATGGCTCTACTTGTACGTACCAAGACACTGAATGCATGCAGACAGGCATTCACTATACTGCTCCAAGGTGCAATCATGCAGGAAATACCACTTTACATTTGTGTCATGATGTGCGGAGCGAAACAGATTGGACAACCGTGTGAGACGACGCAGCATGATTCTCCGCCCCTCTTGCATTTCATTATGGCTACATTCTGGAGGTGTATACGATTTCGAAACCAGCACCACAAACGATAGGTTTGGTGATTTCGGAGGATGTTCTAACCTTTCAACCTGCTTCTTCATTTCCTTGCTATTAGGGTATTTTGGAGCAATTGCTGAAAAGAGCAACTTCGATCCATTGATTTTGTGGACACGGCTGGTTTCCTTGTACCACTTTGCAAGCAGACGGCACATCCCAACCCGACTCCTGCAGGAGGTAGAAGAAATAGGAGGCTGGTTTGAAAACGCGTGGCCGAGTTTCAACCCTTGGATCAAGCTAGGTGTTGTCGATAAGTTCATCCGAAGGGTCTTCATGTGCATGCAAATGATTGCAATGGAAGTGCACAACCAGCAGGCACAGAAGCGGGCACAGCGCACGGCACTAGCAATCACCGATGCCTCGACTACGTCTTCTCACAGCTCTCCTGTAAAGAGGCGGCACGCAAAAGGAGGCGGCGGTGGTGGTGTGAAAGGCGGAGGGGCGTATGGCCTTGGTCACAGCGAGGCATGGACGATGTTCTTGACCGCTCGTGATGGTTTCATAGGTTACCATGTCCCCATTTCTGCTTCGCTTGCCCTGGGCAGGCAAGCGAAGCTTCTGTAAGCGTTCACCGCTTACAGAACTAATCGCCCACCAAGGGTGTGATTGGGTGTGGGTGTCTGTGCTAAGCTTTGCGAACATTAGCATGCACACATGCACACACACACACACACACACACACACACACACACACACACACACACACACACACTGTACAGTTATCATGCATACATGTGTCGCAAGAGCAGCACGCTAATCTGCTCTGAATGTGCGCCAATAGATTTCTTCTTATAGCTACGATACTGGACAAAATCTGTATGGAGCAGATCAAGACTAGCGCCAGATAACTGCCTAATCCCTGCAACTGGCAAAGCCATGTGAGTTGACCGCTTCGAGTGCATCTGTAAGCATCGCTCTGTCATGTACGTGCATGCATTGCTCTTCTAAGTATGCATTGTTCGCGTATGTGTGTACCTCTCCTGTATCTATGCTGTACCCTGCTGATACGTACTCAGCTGGTCCATGGGTGCTCTGCTCCGCTTCGCTGTGTATGTAGCGCTATTCCATGTATGTATCGCTATTCCATGTATGTATCATTATTCCATGTATGTATCGTTATTCCAATTGCTATTCTATGCATACATCGCTGCTCATGTATATCGGCTAGCAAGCCTTGATTGCCCTGGTGGTTCTGTGCATGTATCGCTATTAATTTCATGTATGCATTGCTATTCATGCATGCGTCGTTATTCCATTTATGCTTCGCCATTCACGTGTGCCCGTGTATTCCATAATAGACGAGAGAGCGACTCGTACGTATTGCAATTTTTTTAAAGCATGCGTCGCCATTACTGTTTGCATCGCTATTCAATGTATGCGCCGCTGGTATGCACCGCGGCCTCACATATGCATGAGCATCTCGTGTTATGCATGACTGTCACGTGACGAACATGATACATGTACAAATGTACATGTAGGTTTTTTACCGTGCATACGCGTACGAGAAGTTGAAGTAGTATAATCATGGTGTTATAAAATCTCTATTTTGTTAGGATCACATCACGCATACTTGACTACTTCCCTGGTTCCAGTTTTTCAGCTGTTCCAAATGCCATGATTCATGAAATCCATTTCTTTTCTATTTCGGCTCTCATACCCGCTGAGCCACGCCGGATACCGAGTACCGTGTTGGCCGGTGGTGGTGGTGTGGCTGGCTTGTGTTTGGCGGCGCGTACGCCAGCAGCACCACCGCTGCTGCCGCCGCCACCGTCTCCGTGCTACGTTCCCGCCGTACGCGCATCTGCATGCCCTGCTTCTTCTCCTGCTGCTGCTCCTGCTGCTGCTGCTGCTGCTGGTGGTGGTGCCGGGCGGCGCTTGTGCGGGCGGGTGGGCCAGGTATGCTGTTACCCGGCTTATGCCCCCCCCCCCCCCCCCCCCCGCTTCCCCCTCCCTCTCTCATTTGATGAGCTTGACTTTGTGTGCATGATTTTTTGGCGCTACATGTCTGCCCAGCTTCCTGTGCCAGCCTAGACATGCTAGCATGTGCCTGCTGAGTTCCTTCTTATTGCCTTGTGTTGCTTTTTGCCTATTTTACTGCGCAAGCATGGTGTTTTCTTCTTTCCTACATAGCATATTTTTGTCACATAGAACCGGTTACCCTTGCTCGTAAAAATTAATTACGTTTGCCACGAGAACTATAATCAGGCGGTTTGCAATGTGCAGTCATGGTGGTTGGTGTGGCTGCTGCTTTAAAGCCTTTAGTCCGAGGTGAACAGCAACTGGTGTTCCTTGCCTTGCCAGGTGCATGATGTCAACAGAGACTTCAAGAAATCGTTTGGGGGGGGGGGGCGTTCGGCTGCTCAGGGAGCCCACGTGGCCCAGGCGCTCATTCTCACTGCCATCCCGAAGTCAACGTAGCACCAAACACTCCAAAATGGTTCGTTGGAATTTCTCCCCCCCCCCCCCCCCCACAGGCTAACATTGCCCCACTGTAGGCTAACCGTACAACTACCCCTCGATTTGTCCCGACTCCCTAGGCTAGCACCCCGAAATACTTGATTGTTTTGCTGTGTTGATACACAGTGGCTGTCCCCGTGCACAAACAGTGTTGTGACTGGAGAAGGTTGAGTTCCTGTGCCGGGAGAGTTGTTTAGGGCGACACCTCCCCCCCCCCCCCCTCACCCTTGTCGACCCCTAAATTAAAATGGTTCATATGGCTGTGTGTGCGTATAGACCCAGCACAGCCTCGGTACCGATCGGTACAAATTCTTAGAGTGCATGACATGCGTTGGCGAGCCAACGGGGAGTCAAGATTGTTATCCATGGCAATGCCTTTCCCAATAGTATGACATGCAGGACTGAGTCCAGTGAGGTTGGGGTTGATTGCACATCAGAGGCTCCGCTCCATGTAACACTGTAGTGGCCCTACATTTTTACTGCATAAGTAACCAGTTTTCAAAGCTTTTTTTTTTTTTTTTTCGTTCCTACACCATAACACGCATGCTCGGCCAGTCCTTCCTCGGCCTTTTTTTTACTGCATTTTCTGCGTAGTTTGCATTGCATGCCTCTTCGAGTTTTTCCAAAATATCTCCACGATGGACGCTGTTTTGGATTTGCTGCATACCCTGGCGCAGCCAGAGGTACAATCTGCCATCGCGGCATCCGCCCACTCCTGCGGAAAACAAATAGGAGACACCGTTTCGGGGAACGGTATACAAATTTCCTCAAATTCCGCACCCACGGGCGGATTAGAAACTGGTCGTGACACCACCGCAGCCTCTGGCGGTCAAGAAATGGAGGAGGCTCGGAACTCTTCCAACAGGGAAGGGAACCAGGATGACTCTCGGGTAGATGGCGGGGAGCCTTTTCGTTTTGTCTCATTGGCCGAACGTCGTTCGGCAAGCCTCGGTTTTTCCACGGACCGCCATTCCAGCAATGGCGGCCGGGGCCATATTAGGGGTGACGTCATCTGGGTCACGTGATTTACGTACAGATAGATCTAGATCATGCTCACGGGACAGATCTCCACCCCACTCACGATCACCCCCTCGTTATCGTTCTGCTTCATGTGAACGACGTACACGACGTACTCGCCATAGATCGGCTGGTGCTACACGTACACGTAGATTTAGATCTCAATCTGCGAACAGATGTCGGTCAGTGTCACGCTCGGGTGCTACGCACGAGTCCCGCCTGAGTGCCCGGGGACCACATGGGTAACCCAGACGGCGCGAGTCGCACCGTTTCACCAGGCACCGAGATAGTTCTGGCACTAGTTCTAGCTCTGATACGTCAGAATCTGACGATAGTGACTCCGACAGTCCTAGTGGCACATGTCCGTCATCCGACGACTCGGCTGCCCACGAGCATCGCCGTGGTAGCGGCGCGGGCTTCGATCCTAAGGGGTTAGTGGACGACTCTGTATGGTCTCCCCCCTCGCATATGGCCTCGTACCTACGGGAGCACTGCCGTGGTTCCCTGTCCTTCGCTGAGCGTCGACGGGTGCGGAAACTGTGTCCCCGACCGGACGTGGAGGAAACGCGATGTCCACGCGTGGACCCGTTCTTGTCGGATGTCCAGGGCCTGGCCAATGCCAAGAGAGCGGATAGAATGCTGGCCAACATCCAACAAAAGGTTACGGACGTTTTCCGTCCCCTGGCCGCGCTCTGGGCTGCTATTGAGCAGGGCCGGCCGGTCCACGAACTGACCGAGCTGGTCCAGATGGCGATCGTCATGACGGGCGACGCCTCGAATGTATTGTCGGAGACACGCCGTCAGCGCCTCATGGCAGCGCTGCCAAAGAGATGCCTGAAGAGCTTGCTGCAGGGCTTGCGTTCTTCCGGTGATCTCCTCTTCGGTGATGGATTTTCCCGGGAGTATAAACGGAAGTGCCAGAAAATGGACGTATTCCAGCCACGGCCTTCTGGGCGGCGCCCGGGGACCGCACAGGACCGGTCGCAGCCTGCCCGTCCTGACCGTTTTTCTGGTCGCACCGTGTACCGGTCAGATCCAGGGCGGTTCCGCCCTTACGACAGGGCAGGACGGGGTCATGTCACCCGCCGGCCTGAGGAGCATTTCCGCCAGCCAGCAAAAAACGGCCGGGGCCAGCCCTTTCGCGGGCGCCCTCGAGGTCGTTGACGACCTCCCCCGTGCCTGGCTGCCTCACGGAAGCCCCTACCCCCCAGGTAGCGGGCCGATTGGAGCATTTTGCGGCAGCCTGGCGAGACCTAACGCAGGATGCGTGGGTGTTGAAGACCGTCTCAGGGTACTGCTTAGACCTCCACACCGTTCCTTGCCAGCGGTCCGCTCCGACAGAGATGTGGTTCCCTCCCGAAAAATGCGCCATCGTCCACCAGGAGATAGAGGATCTCCTATCCAAGGGTGCAATTCGACCGGTGAGCCCATCTCCCGGCCAGTTCGTGAGCCGGTTATTCACCGTACCCAAGAAGGGTACCACCGCCGAACGTCCAGTCATCGACCTCCGCCACCTGAACGAGCACGTGCGGTACGAGCACTTCCAGATGGAGGGTCTCCACCTTGTTCCCCTATCCGTCCGAGAGGGCAATTGGCTCACAAAGCTAGACCTCAAGGACGCATACTTCACCGTGCCGATCCATCCCCAGCACCGCCGGCTCCTGCGCTTCAGTTGGGAGGGCCAACTCTACGAGTTTCAGTGCCTACCGTTCGGCCTGTCCAGCGCCCCCCGGGTATTCACGAAGCTGATGAAGGTCCCGATCAGTGTTCTTCGTCGTCAGGGCATTCGTCTCATCCTGTATCTCGACGACCTTCTCCTGATTGCCGAGTCACGGCCGGCCGCCGTGCTGCAGACGCAGCAGGCCATTCAACTCCTAGAATCTCTGGGTTTCGTAATCAATCGGAAGAAGTCCATTCCCGAGCCTACGCAACAGCTCGAGTTCCTAGGATTTCAGTTGAACTCTGTGGCCATGACGATGTCTGTGCCGATCGACAAGGCGCGGAAACTCCAGCAGGAGTGCCACCGAGCCCTGTCCCAGCCTTACCTGTCCATCCGCGCATTGGCCTCACTCCTGGGCAGGATGGTTGCGTGCTCCCCAGGCATGTTTCTGGCTCCACTGCAATTCCGCCACCTTCAGCAGTTGAAGATTGCAGCCCTTCGTCGCCATCAGAGCTACCTTGCCACGGTACGCCTGACGCCGGAAGCCAGGACGGAGCTGACGTGGTGGGCAGCAGATCTAGAAACTTGGAATGGTCGCTCGATTCTCAAACCTCCCGCTCAGCTCACCATATTCTCCGATGCGTCCCTGCTCGGCTGGGGAGCGGTGTGCGGCACAACGAGTACTGGGGGTCAATGGTCCCCTACCGAGGCCAATCTCCACATCAATGCTCTGGAATTGATCGCTGCCTCATTCGCGGTGAAAGCCTTTCATCACCGGGCCTCGTACCGTCCTCTGCACATCAACTTGTTGATCGACAACACGACAGCCGTCAGCTACATCAATCGCTTAGGCGGCACGCATTCCCGTCTCCTGTCCCAGATCGCTTGCGACCTCTGGAGATGGGCGGTCCAACACGATATCCGCCTCCAGGCGGAATATGTGCCGAGCGAGGAGAACCCAGCAGACCATCCTTCTCGGGGCTCCCTCTCCGAGTCCGGCGACTGGCGCCTGGACCCTGCTCTGTTTCGCAGGATTCAGAGGGCAGCTCCTTGGACCTTGGTGCTAGATCTGTTCGCATCTCGACTGAACACGCAACTTCCCGCCTTCTATGCTTGGAGGCCGGATCCGGAGGCTCTCGCTCTAGATGCGTTCTCTCAGAATTGGAGTCTCCCTCATCAGGACGCGGTGTATGCCTTCCCACCATTCTGCCTACTGGACAGGGTGCTTCATCATGTGGCCTCACTCCATACTTGCCGGATGATACTGGTCGCACCAGTATGGGATACGCAGCCATGGTACGCGACTTTGCTGCAGCTGTTGGTCGATTTCCCCATGCTTCTGCCCACATTCGACTGCCTGCTACTCTCACCCTCGGACCATCCACACCCACTGGTACTATCCCGCCACCTGCGCCTCGCCGCATGGCCTATCTCCAGCAGCGCTTCAATGCAGCAGGACTTTCTCCACAGGTTGTGCGACTCCTCTCCTCCTCTTGGCGGTCATCAACCAATGCCGCTTACGCATCGGCATGGGAGCAGTGGCTGGGCTGGTGCAGTCAACGGTCAGTGGATCCCGTTCGCCCATCTTTAGCTATGGTGCTCCAGTTCCTGGCCGATTCCTTTGAGGACGGCCGCAGCTACAGTACCCTGAATGTCTATCGGTCAGCGATGTCTGCTACCCTGCCTGAGCTGGATGGTGCACCCATTGGCCAGCACCCGTTGGTGGTGCGTTTGCTCCGTGGTATCTGCCTAGAGCGTCCGCCGCAGCCGCGGTACTCACATACTTGGGATGTGGGTATTGTCACTTCTTGGCTCTCTAAACTGCCTGCCAACACGGACCTGTCTCTCCCTGTCTTGTCTGGCAAGTTGGCCATTCTGATGGCCTTGACTGCTGCTCGGCGCTCTTCGGACCTCCACCGGCTAAGCCTCAACTCTCATCGTTTCTCTGCCGAGGGCGTGGTGTTTGACTATCTCACACCCCCTAAGCAGCATCGCCCTGGTTCGGAACCAGCCCGACCTGTCACCTTTGCTGCCTTTCCTGTGACTCCTGCACTCTGTGTCGTGGAG